GGTTCAATATCACAAATAAGTTATATTCTGTAATTATATTTACCATAACGCTTTCAGTTGGCTTCTTGGTGGAAGCCGTGTACTGATCCCAGTTTTGTATTCAGCGGTGACCATCTCCTAAACTGATTGACAAACATGCCGAGAGAGGCGAGCCTGCATTACATATTTAACCCATTGCTGATGTAGGAAGGGAAAACTATTTGTGCACAAATGATTTTTACGTCTTATCAGACATTTGTGGGTTATTGTAAGCCAAAACATATTAGAGATTGTAAGAATAATACATTTTTTGCAAGTGAATATTATTAATATTTCAAATATAATTCTTGCTATCTAACCCATATCTAAGGTATTCGTTTCTTTTAAAAATGTAAGCGTATCTAATGTACCCTACTGGGAACTGAAAATTGCTTTTCAATTTCTTCATTTCAGCTGTTACAACACCCATTCTTTATTTGTTAGGTGATTTTCCAGCATTCATTGCCATATAGCAAGACTGCTTATAATTAAGTAGAATTATGCATATTAATCACTACGTTGCATTCTATACTTGCTTATTTCTTTTTATCTTTTCACCTTGGTCAATTTTCTTCGACCGATTTCTGTGCCATTCACCTTTATTACTTTTTTCTCTCCACTTATGGACGCACACAATGTGTCCGAGGCAAATATCTGTGCTTGTCAGAGGCGTTCAGTTAAGAAAACAGTTCCCTCGCAGATCACACATGCGTACATGTTTAATTCTCTTCGGCAGTATACATCTGCTGTTGACATGAAAACATTGTCGAATTGTCCTCATATTAAATGCCCATAAAAGCTACACAGACTCCGTTGAAAGCATTAGAATGATTTACAGACTGGCGTATCGATTGAAATGCTTTGTCCGGTAATTGTCTTTGTTGAGTGTTTGAACAAATGGATGTCAAAAAGCGATGGAAATAATTGTGTCTGAAAGTAGTTCGTCGGCGATAATAAGTTAACGTCCGACATCTGTGTAAAACAAAGCGGGAACGAGACGACTGAAAAGATTTTTAGACTAGCCATTGTTTGAAATGTGGTATACCTGCAGGGGAAGTGTACTTGTTTCATCCGGGGATAGTTGAAGTATAAAACTGAAAAACCTACAATGGTAATGTGTGTGTCAAATATATCTATCTCTCTTCATGACTTTCATTATGTCTATCCTTAATCTCTCTCTCTCTGTCTCTCTCTCTCTCTATATATATATATATATATATATATATATATATATATATATATATATATATATATATATATATGTGTGTGTGTGTGTGTGTGTGCGCGCGTTTGTAAAAAGGGTGTAACACCAAAATTGTACAAATATTATCAAAGCTTGCGATAATTGTCGATACCTAAAATGCTTAAGATCTCAAAAACACTAAACAAGTTGAGTTTATATTTTCCCGGTCATTAGATAAGACGTTATACCAGTTGTCGTAAGAATCACTGCAAAAAAAACTTTACCTTATTCATTTAGAAAGAACAGGTTAAAATCGTTTTGTGTCAACTCCAATCTATCTTTAGAGATTTGGTAGGAGGATGATGATCATTTCGGCCTTCAAGTGTCGTTCAAATGTTCATACTCTGGGTTTCATCTTCAAATTGCATTCAAGAAGCATCAAGAGTACGGTGAATAAGTTGAGAAAAGAGTGAACAGTAGAGAGGAAAACTGGATGAGGGGGTCAAAATAGCAAGAGAGTTGTTCATTCCAACTTAGAGCTTCATACATTCGTAATGAACAAAGTAAAGTCCAGTTTTCCTATAAAAATCTCAGAAAATTTCATTTAGATATCTTCAATCATTTCTAAATTACACCTGTTCAGAGTTTAATCTAAAAAATTGGACGATTTTGCAGTCGCATGATTTGGTGGTTTTGTTGTTACACACGGTGTCGATATATATATATATATATATATATATATATATATATATATATATGTGTGTGTGTGTGTGTGTGTGTATGTCTGTGTACATATATGTGTGTGTGTGTTTGTAATATGTATGTTTGTATATATATAGATATACATATATGCATATCCGTATAATCAGGCCGGTACATGTTAGTAATACAGTTTATTATAAAACAGGATTTACTTACAAATCTTAAATATTTGTATCTATAAAAAGAATGTATAAACATAAAAATGCCTTAGAATAATAGTCGGACTTCGTCCATTTCGTGGTGTGTGAAGTCATTTGTTAACATTTGGTTACGCTATGAGCAGATATGAATGTACGTGAGAGATTCATGGAAGATTGAAGTATAAAAACTCGATGTATATGTATGTATGTATACATATGTATTTTAAGATATTTTTATGTTTTCTATATTTTTTTTAAAAATAAAAATATTTAAGAAAATGCGCAGTTTCATAATAAGCAGTAAAATTAATATTTACCAACCTGTCCGAGTAATTTTCATAGAAAATATTCGTTCTCCGAGAGAAATCGAACGTGTATCCCATACGGAACCGTCTTCTAGCCTAATGTGCTTAACCGATCGAGCCACGGAGAACCGTTCGATTCATAAGGTCGGTTTTAATGTTTTTAAAATTCATGTATATATATATATATATATATATATATATATATATATATATATATATATAAAGTTCTATTTTATACACGGCTCTGATTCATTAAGCAGAAAACAATGAAGATACCCACGAGACATTTTTCAAATATGTCCTGCACAATAAAAAAATTCAATGCTTTCAGTAACACAGCATTTTTGGCGTGATTTGCTCAAGAAGCTCTCCTGATTTATATCTTTGATATATTTTTGCTCGGCGATAACAGACAGCAAAATGATTTGAAAACGCCTGTATGAAAGGCGTAAATTCCAGTGGTTTATTATAAATTATTACATTTAAGGGGAAACATTCCCATCAGTAACTTTTAAGTGCGTGGAAATTACTTTGCTAACCAAATCTCCACCCCCCAAAAAGAAACTCTCTTAGCATGCATGCAAAATCGGGAAAATGAAAATCATCATCAGGTGAATATTAAGTTGATCTTATAAATATGGACGGTTATTTATATTTAAAATCCTCGTTCAATAGCAGCCGCTTTATAACTTTTTGTATGCGAAATTCTTTCGGGCTACTGTCGATCACATATGTCGATCTGTTACGCTGCTCTATTTATTTATTGCCACATTCCAATACATTAATCTCCATTTTTCCACCATTCATTAACCGAAAACCCATTAGGTAGGTGTTGAAGCTTGGATAAGCATGGAATAATAATAATACAACACAAAATGTAGTAAACAAAATGTATTGAAACAAGGAAAAGGTACACAATATTTACAGTTAGTTTTGGTATATTCTTGGGAAGACTGTTCCTGTAGAATGGGTTGTCTTAATCGCAGTCGGGCAGAGTCTCTCGATTCGATCTCTTCTTCCTTCTTCCCCGTCTTCCGGTACCAACCCATATTTATATCGGTCGGTACTCCACTATGTAAATTAGGTGGATCGTACCACAACAGTAGGTTACTACATGTCAGCCTCTGTTGCATTTGAATCATATATACATTGTTTGTCTTTAATCCTTAAGGCCATTGTCGTCATTATGGGTACCAGACATTTTACCTTGAAATGCAAGAGAATTAGATGACGTTAGTTATCAAAAATACAAAAAACGAACAAGATTTATGAACACAGAAGATGCCGACTGACGGTGCATTTATTTTTTTAAAGAAAGTAGTTAGTTATCAGGTAAGTAAGAAACCGAAAGGGAGTACCCCGGAGAAAAGTACGAGAAAATAAATGATCAGAATAGAGCATGGTTACATCCGGGATGGGATATTTCATCACCGCCCACTCAACACCGCCGATGCAACACCAGCCAACTGCTCTCCGTGACACTAAACACCAGGACAACTCACCTCCAACCTACACAGCACGAGGACTGCTCAACGCTGGTGTCGAATTCATAGTTTCAGACGCGGTTGGCTGTAACATTTTGCACATCACGTAGATCGGCTTTGAGTCGTACAGATTTTTCTCTTAGTAATTTCTTAGTTACAACAGATGCTATTTGGCTGTCTGACTAGCGTTTAATTTTGAAGATCGTACAAATAAACATGCTGAAACAGCAAATATAAGAATGCACACGGAGTTGACGAAGAGCAGTCCACATAATGGAGATTCCTTAGAGGGCTGCAAAAAGTGAAGAAAAGTAACTGAGATGAATTTTTGGGGCAATCAATTGCAGGTCATGCCGTCCCACACTAATTTGAAGATGTCCCGTGAACGCAAATGAAAGAATTTTGAAAATGGCTTCTTCTTTTTCACAACGATCTCTAACATTTGAGGGGACTTGCATACAATTTTCAACATTTTTTTTAATTAAACATAAAGTCATATTAAAATATGATCCGTAATAAGTTACTTTTATTTGGTTTTAAAAAGCCAAGGAAACAATTTAATAGTTTTCATTTTTTTTGAGTTGTCTTCAGGCTGAGTAGGCGATTGGTGAGTTCTTCTGGATTTGAGTTGTAACTGAATTGAGTTAGCCGGTGTCGAGTCGGCGGCCTTGAGCTGGCGTTGATGTGTCCCCATGCATCCGGTTACATTGAGGTAATTCAACCGTAAAACATCGAGATCTAGTTGTTAATTCAATTGTAGTCTTAAGTTCATGTGGTCGAGTAGAGTTCATCAGAAAAAATACCATTAAAATACTGATAGAATGGTCAGAAGAAAGTGATGTCACGATGGTTGTGAAGTGACTGAAGTCAAGATGCCAGGTCAGGAGAGATAACAATGAAGAACCTTCCTCGGGATTTTGTCAAGAATATCGAGATATATAGCCAGAGGACCAGACAAGATATGACAACAATATTTAATACTCGGAGGAATGGTAGATTTTTAAATGTTTAAGATTGATTCTGATGAGATAAATTAATTGACTTGAAATAGTGTATCAATTTCCAAGCTGGAGACCTGTCAATAGATTATATAGTTTTTTTTTTTTTT